AGGAGATTATGATCTGCGTTTCATTCAATTAAATGGATGATGAAATCCTTGGCCAAAGTGTACTCATAAGTCGAAAAATAGTTTTCGACTAATATTGACTTAATAGTGGAGTGAAAGATATGATCGATAATCGAGATTGACACACTTTCATATCTCATAATTGATCGGATCATATTAACGAAGGGATTATAATTTCACGGTAAACGAATGAGTTTAGTTTTGTCATACCACGTGACATTTCTTGTCATATGTATTGCCCTGACACATTGCTAGATGTCAATCTGAGACGGCGAGTGTAAATTGGTGATAAATTAAAAGGGTGTTTTAATTTATCAATTTTGATTAGATCAAAATAATATTTCATGTCGTTAGGCATAGTGATCGGCAACTGATGGGTTGTACACAAAAGGAGAATTTGAAGATTGTAATTTATCAATTAATTAATTTAACAAGCATTGGATAAATTGATTAATTGAGTTGCATATTTATAGGCCCGAATTAATTAATTGTATTAATTAATTCACGGACCGGATTTAATTAAATGGGTTAATTAAATGTTGGACCAGATCAGGCCAAGTCCGTTTGGACTTATATAAATATGATTAGGATTTTCAAAATTGTTGTGATTTTCATTATTCTTGCTAACACAAAAAGAAAATCATAATGTTGCAATCTTGTTCTTTGTGTGGATCATCGTTGGAAGCTGGACAATTGGACAGCTGTGCGAAACAGATCCAAGTTGCTGGAACAAAGATATGACAAAGAAGTTTGCAGATCTTGTAAAGGTACATCTTTATCACAATTTCTATTTAAACACAAAGGCGATTCTTGGTGGGAATCGAAATCTGTTCTAATTTTCTGCTATGTATGTTAAGTAGATTCCCAACAAAAACGACATTTGAAAATTTTTATATTTACGCAGGGCTCGTGTGCATTGTGAGAGGGAGCACATCATTCGGTACATTTAGTTTAATCATTAAAATTATATTTCAAGAGAATTTTTAAATTAATATTTTAGTTTGGAGAGCATAATTCTATATAATTAAATGTATTCAAGTTATTATAAATTTTAATATAGAAAAATAATAAAATAATTAAAGAAAAGTTAATTAAAATAAAAGATAGGAAAAAATAAAAAATATTTTTTAGAAAAAGTAAAATTAAGTGTTAAATATAGGCCCCATTTGGTGGCCATTTTTTTAAAGATATATTTTTATCTCTCTTCTTTTCATTCACACATTCTTTATTAAGATAATATTACACGTAAATCAAAAACTTTTCCTTATTTTTCAAACACACATTTCAAATCAATTTATTATTTCAAGATACATTTTTACATAAAAATAACTATCAAACACCCCCATAAAGAGTTTGTTGGAGTATTTCAAAGTTAAGTGTATATGTGGATTTTCCCTTTAATTTGGTTGATAGAGATACTTTGGACAGGTCCTATCAACCATGTCCAAATAGGGCGCGGCGCCCTGGACGGAGCATAACCCTAATTTGGCCCCATAGGCCCTGTCCATATAGGGCGCCCCCATAGGCCCTGTCCATATAGGGCGTGGCGCCCTAGATGGAGTGTATATATATCATGGTAGCCGCCTTTTTAAAAGATTGAACCCCAACCTTAAGGGTTCCCCACCGCCCCTGTGTTGGAGTATCGTGAGGGAGGTAAATCTCAGGTTATGCCTCCAAGGGTACAGGGTGGAAGGCTGCTTGTACACTTGCGCTTACCCAAGAGCCAAATTCATATTTCAGGATTCGAACTCTTGACGCGACAGCCTCAAGCAAAGTTGAATTTCTCCACCCTCCTCTTTTACCACTTGGAGATGTGTCCTGGGGGCAATGATAGCCACCTTTTTTGTTATGTGTTGAGAGGGCTCTATAGTTATTTCAATTTTTTACTTCAAAACCAATTCCAGTTCCAATTCCTCCCAGCTTTCAACTGCTATATATCTCTCCCTCTAATTAAATATTTTTGCTTCAAAACCAATTCCAGTTTCAATTCCTCCCAGCTTTCAACTGCTATATATCTCTCCCGCTAATTAAAACGGCCAACTTGTAAATATATGTAAATAACAATCCCAGCATACTGCCCTTCTTCTACACTTATGAGTCCCAATTATATTTGGTTCATCCCAATTGCAATTGGTCTAGGGCCAATTAATTGTAATTTGTCTTACAAGCCTTCACTCCATCAATGCAATTGGGTCATTGATACCAATTTATTTATATAGCCCATTTCTTCATCAATTCAATTTAAGCTCTTCAATTTTCAAAGTGTTGAATTTGATCTCCAACATTGCATTCAATAGCCAATTTAGTCCCCATAATTTGATTTTTTCTATTTTTCCGCCACTTTTTGCTTCTTTCCTTCAACTCCTTTTTTATTCATAGAGTCACACCTATTAAATATAAAATACAAAAATAAGTTTTTGGAACAATAATCCGTATCTTTATTACATTAGCTAATACTATTTGTTCTATTCTATTGGTAATAATGAAACAATTCCGATCGAGTAGCTCTAGAAGCATGTGTAAAAGCTCATAATGAAGGTTCTAGAATATTTAATATTTATTTGAAATTCTATATTCTATCCTTGCCAGGAGGTTTGCCTATAAGCAACCACCCTTAAAAGAGTGTGATTATTGCACTTAAAATTTTTTAATTTTTCCTATAGAGGTACTCAAATTGGATCAGTGATCGATTTCTAGGTGGATCTCATTGTTAAAGACCTATTACTGGAAATTCATGGGTAGATGGCAAGTGCCTGATTGAATTGATCAGGTCATGTAGGGATTTTAATTTATTCAAGTTAATAACTTGGGGTTGTGATAATTTTGGCATGAGAGAAAAGCTTATTGATTGGTGATTGTGAGGCCCCAATTTTTATCCCTACGAAATATCAGATGAAATAAAAAGCTTAGAAATTCGTTCAATACATATGCCCCGCAACAAGAAAAATAAAGTCGAGACGGCGACGGGTTCTCTGCCCCTGTGGGGATGGATTGGTTTATGAGAGAGTGTCAAAATACTTTGATTTCTTAATCATTTCATCTTTTTAGTTGGAACTTTAGGCAGTTCTCAAAACCTGAGAAAACCTAAGTATGGCTTCTTCGATTTCTCGATAAAGAGAGTGAATAGATTGACCTTGAAACAACAACGATTAATTACTATTGCTACAGTAGCTGTTAATACAAATAAGAGAATCTCTAAAGAAAAGAATAAATAGGCAAATTGGTATAGGATATCTTTTGTCAAATGAACCATCAAATATTGTTATTTTAGGCACCGAATAAGTGTAAAAAAGATACACTTATGACTTTTATTGGTGGATAGATGAGAGAGAAAGTGAATTATCTGAAAAACATTTTTGAGAAAAATATGTTTAGGGGACTAACTTTTGGAAAATATTTTCATGAAAAATATGTCAATCGAACACCCCAAAAATGAGAATTTGGATAAAAAATGACATTTTCATTTAAAAAAAAAAAAGTCAATCAAACACGCTCTATATATTTTTGGATTCGGAAATGGAAACCTCTCTAGAATTGGCCATCATTCTGGCCTCTCACAGTTGGGCATAGGGATGTCAAACGGGCTGAGTGGCTTGTCAGCTTGTTAAAACTTGGCTCGTGCAGCTCGGGCTCGTCAAATGACGAGCCTGAGCCTACTAGGGGGCTCAATCCCACAAACCAAAGTTCACGAGCCGAGCTCATGGGCTCGTCAAAAAAGTGCAAATTTACCAAAAAAATAAATTTTTAAATTGAAAAAATCATGAGCTCGTGAGCGGCTCAGCTCGACTTGGCCCGCAAGCTCGTGAGCTCACAAGCTTGTCCTCGAGCAATGAGCTGAGCTCGAGCTCGGCTCATTTTTCACGAGCTCGAGTTAAGCTCGTGGGTTAAAGGGCTCGGGCCAGCTCAGCCTGTTGCCATCCCTAGTTGGCCACGAGTTGGCACGACCTATAGATAAATTAAGGGTAGAATTTCTTCACGTGCACGGCTTCGGTGTTGCTTTCTCCAGTTTTGCACACCAAGCTTCCAACATTATGATCTTTTTCATGTAAGTCCTTTCCTTTATCTTTTATTTTTGTCAACTTAATCCTTTGAGCTTAAATATACCAAAAAATTGGTCTCTTATCTTTTAACCTTGCTCATTTTGGTCTCCAAGTTTCTATTATGTTCAAGTAAGCTCTCAAAGCTCTTACTTTGTCTACTTTTGGTCCCTAAACTCTCCAAATGTAAAACTTGGTCCCGAAAGTTCGTGATTTTATCTGCTAAACACTTTCAAAGCTTCCAATCAAATCCCCAACTTTCCAATAGCTCTTCAATCACATCCTTTAAGCTCCAATTTTGCTTGAAACCTCTTCCTTTTGCCCTCATTCACCGCCAAGATGGGATTTTTTCTTATATAAATATTGTGCACACAAATGAAGTAAAAGTACATCAAATAGTTAATATTAAGTAAGTTTAAAATCTTAGATAAATGTGTAAAACATACTTAATGACATTTCTATTAAAGATTATTCTTTGTGTTGGAAATCCAATCTTTGTCTCAAGGTCCAAGGACGAAGCACATATCTCTTGATTATGATTTTGTATGTGACAATGTCCGTAAAAGCTTATCTTCGGGCAAGTTACAATTCACACCTCTATTGAAGATCACCATTTCTAGCGGAGTGCACAATCTTTCATGGACATAAGAAAAAGAAGATCAACCCTTCTCGTCAAGATCCACAAATCCTGGACATCATCTTTATTAAGCTCTTGTATGTGTCAATCCATTCCATGTATACAATTGGATTTGCGTTTGCATTTTGCTACTGAAGAATGACTCTGCATAAATGCTTCCAATGATGTCAAGGAATACACTTTCACCTTCCTTCTTCAAAGTTTGCCCAAGTAATTCTCGAGAAGAATTTTTCAAAATAACTTCTATTTGGGCAAACATGCTAAATACCTAGGATCTCACTGGAGTTGTAAAATTTTAAACTTCAAAATAAGTATATCATTAACGTCTATCATTGAAGATGAGTAATTAGTAATTTTCTCAAACAACATCAAGTTGCGAAGTAATCAGAAAGAGGGGCCGTTCGGAAATGGCAGTTCTAGTGGATGGAGGTCGGAAAATGGTGGGAGCTGGGCCGCCACGCCGAGGCAGTGAGCAAGCATAGATCTCTCCATCCGAGTTTCAAGGCGCCGTTATCCTCCACCAAGGTGTAACCATCAGAAGGGAACATTCCCAGTAAAAGAGTAGCTTGTGCCGCGGCATTGCCACCCAAAGATACACCTTTGAAACCTGATTGCTGAAACCTCTCTCTCCAGTTAGTGAATTTCACCTCCCCACTTCTTGAAGGACCGCCCACAGCCAACACATTTCTTATCTCCCTTGATAAAAGTTGCTGCTCCACTATGTGTCTTTCCTCACTCTCTTCCCCATAGCAATCTCCCAACGAGTCGAACAAGGCTGAGTAGTAATGTATGGCCTCCACAAATCTTCCCAAGAATGAACCAGCATGGCTCAAATCTTGCTCAACAACTGTCACCACTTTTGGGCATAATCTGCATAACATTTTTCAACAAAAAAAAGAATCTACTTTAATGTCCACTCTTCTGAACAAAAGTTATAAATATAAGCCCCTCATTCTTATAAAAATGAGAATGAAAAATATTACTGTTACGGGACCCACACAAAAGAGAGGAAGTCAAATATGGTGTCTTGATTTAATTGATAACGGTCATATTTTTCATTTTTTGGACCAAAAAATGGGAAACAAACGGAAACTAAAATTTAGAAATTGGGGTATCGGAGCAAGAAAAACTTTCCCATTTCATTTCCTTCTTATTGATGGCTCTTACACATGCAAGTCCAATCAGGGACACAATTTTGAATAGTCCAACAAGCATTTATGAATTAATTTTGTCTTAAGAAGTTGCTTATTTTTAAGGTTACTCTTTCTTGCTGCCAGAAAAGCTTTTAAGCTTAGGCAAACATGTTCTATTATGGGGGTGTTTGATAAGCATTTTTACGTAAAAATGCATTTTAGAATAGTAAATTGACGTGAAATGTGTGGTTGAGAAATAAGGAAAAGTTTTTGATTTACGCGTAATATTATTTTAATAAATAATGTGTGGTTGAAAAGTAGACAGAAAAAATCATTTCGAAGAAAATGACTACCTAACAGACTCCATATATCCACGGTAAATTCTACAGAATAACCAATAAGTGCAAGCAAACCTGATAAACAATAAAAAGATTAATGTATCCAAATCAGTAATCACAACTTGAGTAAATCTTAAAAAATTATAGAAGAATGAGTTAAACAATTAGGGAAACTTTCAGATGGACATTGCCACATTGGAAATTTAGAAAATATGCGATCAAGATAACTATAAATGAAAACAGAAAATAAGAGAGAGAGGCGCCATTGTTGTCACCTTTGCAAGAGCCAAAGGGCATTGGTGTCTGAACCAGTGACATCATAGAAAGAATGCTGCAACCAGTGAACAGCAACAGCCTCCGTCTCGCTTATGCTCAACCTTTGCGGGTTTAAGTTTCCAATTTTATCAGCTACAGGTGCAAACTCAAATGGTAATCCCAATTTCTCTGCAAAATCAGATAACCGTTTGCCGGTGGCCTCAAGGGCTTCCATAGAGGTGCCCAGCCCGGTGAGGCGAACAAATGGTGGTCCACCAGGCCGCGAAGCCAGTATGTGGAAGAGTCCAGGCCATTGTAGGCCTTGCATTATGTCAAGGTCTATAATGTGCACTCTATCTTCCCTCTCAAATGCTTCTTGAATGGCCTGGTTCGCCGTGAAATGAGAAAACTTCACAAAAGGGCTGATCCCGTTAAACACTTGGAAGGCCGACGCCATTTTCTGGCTATGCGGTACCACTGGCAGCGCTGCGTATATTCCCAAGCACGAGTTTACTATCCTTGCCGACATTGCCTCGGAGAAATATGCCGCTACACGTTGAGCTGAAGTGCCAAATGGTGTTGCCAGTTCAGAGATTTCTAACAGCATTTTATTTGCTTCCTCCATATTTTCAGCTGATACAGCCTCTGCACACTGGAGGAGTAAGGACAAGAGGTGTAAGCCTTCTTCGTCTTTTTGTTTCTGTCGCATTTCTTCTTTCCTCTCCCTGATTGCTTCCACTGCGCTTGTATAAGGGGACGCCGTTGGTGTCACCGCCGCCGGCGTCTGACTCTGTTGCTGCTGCTCCAAAGGCTGCTCGGGATGGGTTTCTGGCTGAGGAGAATGGTGCACTTGATCATTCGAATTACTAACAATAGTTGCTGCAGGCACAGAAAAAGAAACACCAGTGGGGATTGAGGTTACTGCACTAGGAATGCTTCGAAGGTAATGGCTGTTCCCAATCCCGGCAGCATTCGCTGTCGCAGGTAGTGTTACAACCGGCCAACTCAAGTGTTGATTCATGGATTCTGAAAGGCTTTGAGTGAATAAATTTTCATCCATATACAACCTGAGCCCAGAAGTCCCTACCTGTATCTGCCCTTGTCCATGATGGTCATGTCTTTGTAAACTCACCGGCGGCAACGCTTCCTTCCTCCTTCCAGTGTAATTTGTAAAGGATTCAGTACCAGTAAGAGAACGAAGCCTGTATTCTAGAAGGGCTGCTAGATTAGGGTTGCAAGAGTGTATAATCTCTCTTACGTTGAGGATTAGTTGAGGTATAGAGACATTAGTTGAGCTGTGAATAAGATCTTTTATTATGCCGTCTATCCATGCCGTTGCTGCTGCACTCTCCTCCATGGAAACTGCACCTGCACCGGTCGATGCAGTAGTATTGATCGGTAAAAGCAAGGCACCAGGGGATGGAGAAAGTTGCAAACCCGGGTTCTGGGCTTTCTCAGGAGGGAACAAAGGTAAGCCGGAGAAAACACATACAGAAGGTGTAGATTGATTTTGGGATTGTTGTACTTGTTGATGTTGAAGATGATGATGGTAATTTAGGTTTGGAGTAGAAATGGCAGGTTCGGAACCAGATCCGGATTTTCCTGACGTCAAATTCGTGGAAGATGGTGACATCGACATCATAGTGGAGTAGTTGGCTACGTGGGTTGAACGTAGTAGTGGATTCGGACTAGTAAGATCACCACCACCCATAAAAGAACAGACCCCAGATTCACCCAGCGGCTGTGTTGCTGTACGGCGGAGAAACTTGTTATGGCAGTCTGCGCCGCCGTTTCCTGCTTGAAGTTCCATCTCCGTCGCTGCCCTTTTTCTCAACGTCGACCTGCCCTTGTCCGACGGGCCTTGATCCAGTAGAGTAGGAAGCAATGGCGGCGCGTTAGAGCAGCCAGTAGTCATTAATGGACTCTCACTACTACTTTCAGCACCGCTGCCATTGACATTTGCAATATGAGCATCTTCCTTCAGAGTAAAACCACTCGCCATATGCAAATTTAACTATCTGCCGAAATTTCAATCTTTGAAGCTGGTTCTTTTTCATCGAGATGGATCAATAATCAGAGATTAATATGCTTGCTGGGTTTTAACTATTTGATTGATGCTGAGAGAATGGTGTTTTTCGACAAGGAGATAAGGGGTGCAAGGATTTGGACAAGAACATTGGGATTCTGTGATATCTCTCTCCAACGCGATGTTCTGGGTTTTTATTCCAAAATACTACACTACTTGCCTTTTGGATTTATCTGTATGGTTCCATGGAAATGGCTGGTGCCACAAAGATACGGACAGATTGGATTCATGCAATTGTGATGATAAGTGGGTACAAACTGATGAGGTGGCGGCGCAACCTCTTTGGCGGTGGGCGTGGTGGAGCAACCTCTTTGTCGCGGTGACGGTGGCTAGCTGTAGATGAAATGACGGAGCGTTTCATGATATGTTCCCTGTGTGTCTCCAGTCTGTGTCCTTGAGCGGTTGACTTTGTGTGGGGAAACTTCCAATATAGCTTTACCATTGACGATAAAGCTCGAACACCAGTGACATTGAACTCGCCCATTCATTTACAAGACTTTATAGTCACTCTCTCGAAACTTCAATAATTCATCTACAACGACTTACCATTGACAAAAACTCTACAAAATTTGCTCTTCATAGATGTTGAGTTGGTGGAATAGGTGAATGCGGAGACCTTTGATTACAAATTTGATTCCTCTTATTAACACTTTTTTAGTTGAGTCTGTCGCACAGGACTTGTCTAGTGCGATTTACCTGATTGGTATGGTTTGAAGGCTACTGCGTCAACTCGAAGGTTTACCCAGTGCACACTCGAAGGGTAGCGGCTGCGGATTCCCCAGTGATAAAAATAAAAATAATAAAAATAAAAATTCTACAAAATTTTGATCGATGGTATAAACTTAGGGGCTATGAGACGTAGAGGTAACAATTGATTTCTTTTGACAAATAAATTTGAATTTTTATAACGTTCAATAAGACTCGTTATTTATGTCACGCCTCGTCACCACGACTCCAAAGTTAGCTTACATGAAGATGCAAGTCAACAGAAACTCCGGCTGGTCAGAATGGCGAGAAAAAAAATGTCGAAGCCAAGAGGAAAGCTTTCGAGACTATCCATTTCGAAGCCCCCTTTTGCCGGTCGAAGCCCTCGTCTCTTAAAAGATCTATAGGCTATCTCTAAGAATGATTTATTTGACTTTTATAATGAATGTGTCAAGTTTGTTAGTCTAAGTTATAGAGTGGTTGACCTGTTTTCAATATATTAAATGCAGAACATGCTAATGATATGATGCTTCGACCTGGGAGATGGAGTCACGTGCTCCTTCATCCAAGGGTACTGCTTCAGCTAAAACTCTATAAATACCAACTCATATAAGACTTGAGTCTAGTGCAACTCTTTGCATAAAAAAAAAACTACTCTTTATCTTCTCTCCAACGTATTCTTGTTTGCTTGAGCTTAGATTACTTACTTTAATTGAATTGTTAGTAATTGATCATTAATATGCAATCATCCTTGAATATACTTCTGGCTTCTGAACATTTTTGTCTTGTATCATAGAGTATATTCCACATCCATAAAATAGTAAGCATTTTGAGTCAAAATCTCCAGTGGAAAACATGTTGAAATTTGCTTGTGTGGATATGAGTGGGCCCGACATTTGTTGTCCACGTTACACCTACAAAAAATGAGGTCAACAATTTATAAGTTCTTTAAAATATTAAACGAGCTCTCATTTGTCTTGTAGTACTGCACTGCATAACATAACAAGCATTATATCACATTATCACATCAACCAAATGACTTTTCTAGTAAGTGTTTCTCCACGATTGCTCGATATATCTCTCTAGGGCACGTGTCATTCTTTAAGAAGTCCGATCATCAAATGATTGCAACTGAACATATTATCTTTTAGAAGTTGATTGATTTTATAATTTATTTCTTTAGTTAGGAAAGTTTTTAGAGGAATTTGATCCAATCTGAATTCTTCTATATAAGGTCTTTCGGAAGTGAAATTTTTTTAGAAATTAGTTTCCAAACCCTATTTAGATGCCCAAATATTTGATGTACTAGTTGATCTTGAATTGTGTTAATTTAGACTCGACACAAGAAAGTCAATACTAAAACTTATATTAATATCAGAAATTTGTTTCACGTGGTAAAGAGATGAGCTCGTATATTATTCAATTCAATGGTCATAGATATTTTCATTAAATTCTTTGAAAATCTTCCACAGTTAGTAAATATAACATAACTATACCAATTTGCAACATGGTACAAACATAATAGATTTCCATGAAATTCTAATGCTTGTCGTATTGTAGATTTAATCAAGTGCAAACTATCATTGTCACATTTAGCTTCAACCAAAACTCTATGCTAATTAAATAAAATTAAATCTACAACAAATGACCAAAATTCTAATGAGGTTTCTTTGATATTGTCAAATTAAAAATAGGGTTGACAAGGGTTCGGTTTGGGGTCAATTCGATCAAAACGATCACCGAACTACCAATTTTTTGGTCATATCATAACCGCACTATAATCACGTAAGTTGGTTCGAGTCTGGCGATTAATAATCACGAAAATAAATTATTTTTTATAGGTCTGCAATCAAATTGAAAAAAAAAAAAAACAATGAAAACAAAAACACAATACTTAGTCAATTTAGCAAAAAAATCCAAAATGACAATGCAAACAATATTCCAATTCCCAAATAGAAAATCCAAATTTAACAAACAATTTCCATATATGTTTAATATTTGTGTAATAGGGTGTAGGGCTATTGGGTTAGATTAGTTGGATTTAACGAGCCGATAATTAACAAGTATTTTGGACTTAACGGAAACATAGAAAGAATAATGGAAAGTCCAATTGTCCAATTAATTTTTTTAATGGGTCATCAGTTCGTAGCGGGGCGATAGCGTAAATATCATACCTGTCTCGCCTTGAACTAGGGTATTAAAATCAAATATCATATCCAACCCCATTGCGCTATCTATTCGATTTTTCACCCCATTCGGTTAGGTTAACCGCGATTTTTGGTTTCAACAGTTCAAATTGTCATCCTTAATTAAAGGCCTATTTGAGCCACGTTCCTTTGACAAAAAAATACATTCTTAAACAATAATTTGACATTTTTTCAATCACATATTTTTCAATAAAATAATATTACACACAAATTCAATTTTTTTTCTTATTTTTAATTATACATTTCTCATTAATGCAATATTTAAAAATACATTCTTATTAAAATAATGTGGCTCAAACAATGGCTAAATCAGTGTTGTCAGTATTAATGGCCGAATGTGCAACACGTGCCACTAATAAGTAACATTGTAATTCACATGGAAATTGGAATATTAATATTAGGGACAATAAATTAATTTATTATTATTTATATTAGTTGCACGTTTATTGATTAGGTAAGTGCATGCACGCAATACTTGTTTAACCTATCTTCAGATGAGTTCCATGCAAGGGCGCTCTAGATAAGCCCCCCAAAGTGCCAATCGTAGTTAATTTCCATGTTTACCTAATAATGAAAATATGCACTAAAAATTAATGAAATATTTCACATAAAGCAAGTGTGCATAATACTTTTTTTTTTTTTTGAAATAATAAAATACCTTTCGAATTCGATTTAGTGAGGATTTTCTGAGTTTTCGTCTAGAACTGGTGAGAGAGTTTGATAGTACATCTAACGTGTATGCTAATATAAACGTAAAGCACAAATCGAAGGGAGTGTAATATCTTGATTTCCAAAAGTAAAATTATATAGTTTAAGTGACTAAGAGGGAGGTACTAACTTGATCAATGTTTGCTACATAGATATATCTACATAATTAAATGATTTAACCTATTTATTCAATTTTTAGCACTACAAAATCGTATGCTTGATCCACGACAACAAAATTTACATCTATTTTTAAAAAATATATATATATATGAAGTAAATTCTAGCGTTAATTATTCCATTTATGGAAAACTGGCGCAAATGACCCAAATTGTTGTCCATTTTGTATTTTTGGTCCAAACCTTTAAGTCTTGATGCAAATGATCCTAAGCCTTTGAATTTTTGGCACAACTGGTCAGTAAAAAATAAAAATAAAAATGGTTAGCTTGATGTGCGAAAATGCAATTGTTCTTATTTTATTTTATACGAAGGAATAGTTTTGTTAAATTTAAAAAAACTTTACCTTCTTACACAATCGACACCCAGTCCCAAAACCATGGGGCTTCTCCCACCACAAACCAACTACAACAAACTAATTTGCACTGCAACCACTACTTGAATTACTCAAGCAAGAAGATTAATGAGACAGGGAATTGGACTCCTTATAAGCGTAGTGTATAAGCAATGTTTGTTTCCTGACCTGTTGGGACACATTCCGCGATTTACCTCCCTCACAAAACTCTAGAGACGGGACGGTGGAGACCCTCATGATTGGGGTTCAACCTTTTTTTTTTTTCAAGTAAGAAAAATTGTCGAAAGAATCATTTGAGAAATTTGGATTGTGTAATCTTGTTGTCCTCTCTGTTCACTGCATGACTTTAATCTTATAATTCGCTTAGCTTTAGCAAATTCACATTTTGCATCTATAATTCTTCTATGTCATATGTTTCTGTTCTCTACTCAATCCTTCGTCCTTTTAATTATTATTAACTTATATTGATTGTTTTAATTTTGTCAAAATTGTCCCCTTCAAATAAATAGAAAAAGAGCAGTTGCATTTTCATGCAGCAAAGTAAAGACATTTTTGGACGAAATCATACACATAAATCATTTTTTTCTTATATTTTAACTATACATTCTCTGAACAATTACTATTACAAAGCCCCTGTTTGGTAGCCATTGAGAAGAGGTTTTTTGGGAAAAATAAATTTTCAATAATAATTTGTTGGAGAATATGTGATTGAAAAGTAGAAAAAAAAATTTAATTTATGTGCAAATGTGCTTAAAAATAAGTTTGAGAAAAAAGTTTTGAAAAAATAGATGACAAGTAGGAACAATTTGTAAATTTTGATAAAATTTAATAAAATACGTAATTAAAATTAATTGTTAATTTTGACTTACAATTTTATCAATTTTTTTATTAAAACAAAAAAGGGACTTGTTACAGTTTATTTTATTCTAAATATTATTCAGTTCATATTGAACAAATAAAAAATGAATAATAAACTGTAAGTAAGAGGACTTTCATTTTCACCCAACATGTTCAGGAAACGTCTACCTTCACCTTTATATAATCTTTTAATATGCTGGTTCTAACCACTCCAAAAGAATGTCTTTTCAACTTTTTATATTTTTGTATTCAGTTAAAAGTAAATTGAACCCCTTCTATTATATTTTCACAATATGAGGTCCCACAAATTTTCGACTACTCATTTCATTAACTTCTATCAAAATTTGATCATTAACTTCTATCAAAATTTGATTATAATCCCCATTAAATAAGGACTTAGCCCCCGTTCGAGCCCCATTATTTCTCATTACATTAAATTAAATTTTTTTCTCTCCTACTTTTAATTATACAATATTCAATAAAATAATATTACACGTAAATAAAAAACTTTTCAACTACTCATTTTTCAAAAAAATACTATTCATCTCATTATAATCTACAAATAATGAGGCTCAAACGGGGGCTATTTCACTGCCCCATTTT